GTCAGAGTGGAGGACAGATTTCATTTTGCCTTCATATTTATTTTTAAAACTGCCATAATTCCCAAACCCTACATCCCTGAGACATCATTTATCATGACTAACGAAGGAAAACATCTCGTAGCTTGAAAGATTAAAAAAAAATAAGCAAAATAATTAAACAAAATGCCTCTTGAGGGCATGAAGTGACAAAAATGTCAACATGCCTCCATTAAAACCCATTCAGGTCTCAACGCTAACTTTTAAAAGTGGCAGGCATCAGCTTTTGGTTAACAAACTGAAAATACTGTTGCCATTTTTAGTCACCTTATATTTTAAATAATTAAGATACTATACAGTTATAAATCAACTTAATAATGAACATGTGACACAAAAGAATGTTCAAATGCTTTGCCTAAAGAGGCGAAGTCCCTCCCTTTCAGGTGGACCTCCATGGGACCTTATTTCTGAAAATATATGTATTGAAGTCAATGGAGAGAAAGATTATCTTTCGATCCCGTTTGAATTGTGCCACGAATTACACATGTTTGTCAATTTAAAAGATAATTTTGCAAGTAAAAAAAAAAAAATGTGTCATAAAACTGAAGTAACACATATTTTTGTGTGAAACGCTGAATGAACTACATCTCTGGTCTCGCAGAACAACACACGTCACCAAGATGGCCGTCACTACTTGCTAAACAAGGGATTAGCTACCCTCACTATCACCACAATGAAACACGTCCAGAAGAATGTCATGCAAAGCTGCCTGCCTTCCTTTGATTCTCTCTGAACTGCCTGATCTTTTTAATGTTTAATGTCAACCATTTGTGCAGATAGCATGAAGTAGAAAATCGGGATCGCCGATGCTAATGTAGCGTTAGCGTTAGCATTTCTCCCCCGGGCTTAAATGGTGTATTATAGAATGATCACACTGGTGACAGTACTCTTCGAAGGGTTCACGAAATATGACTACTACTCTTACTGTTTAGCATGTTGGGTTACTTGATGTTACTTCATGTTAAGGCTAATAAAAATGACAAGGCTAAGGCTGTAATGCTAACTAAGGTGCTAGCTACTAGCTAGGTAGCTAACTTGATCCAGCCACTCCTGGTCCTTTCATCAGACGGGAAGCGAAAGAACGAGCAAGACCCATTGCTGGTATGATAACAACCTGGTACTAAGCACACGGGCATCTTGTTAAAGTTATCTTATCCAGCGCCATATAGATTCTAGCTATCTCTTAGTGGAGGAAAACAGTTATGACATCACTTACGCGACTCTGGGATTTGTAGTCTTTCTAGTTGCGTATTTTTCATAGTCTTATATTTCAACAGTTTTACGACAAACTGACTTTTTTGACATGGAAATTATTTTTTAAGATTGACAAACATCATATGTGTAATTCATGGCACAACTCAAACGGGATCGAAAGATACGTTTTCTCTCTCCATTGACTTCAATACAGGATTATTCCGAAATAAGGTCCCATGGAGCGGAAGTAGATGGGCGTGACTTCGCCACTCTTACAAGTCAGTGCTCTTATTTTGAAGTCAGTGCTCTTATTTTGAAGTCAGTGCTCTTATTTTGAAGTCAGTGCTGTATATAATAGAGTGTTCTCTGTGTTACCTTGCGGGCCTGAGCGAGGGTCTTGCAGGCGTCGATGACGAAGGTCAGAGTCTTCATCGGCAGAGCTTCGTTCACTGACGACACCTTGTTCTCCAGGTTCATCGCAAAATCCTGCACACATACATTATTGTTATAATTTTTGTTGTTGTTGTTGTTGTGATACTAATGAGCGCTGCTTACCTTGGCCTGGTGGTGGAAGGTGCATCTCTCGTTGTAATCCTGGAACTTCTTCTCCTGCCGCGCCGCTTTACTCACCTGAGAGCAGAGACACATCCCAGAGTCACACAGGTGCTGAGGGAGCAGTGAGGGAGCTCTCTGATTGGCTTATGGTCATGTGACAGGGTGGCGAGGTACTCACCATGGCGGAGCAGTTGTAGTAATCTTTGTGAGTGGGTTTCCATGGTTTCAGGCAGCGCCAGCAGAACCCGTGGTTGCACTTAGCGCAGGTCATACTGAAACACACGGCAGGGTACTTTAATATTCAGCCTCACCTCTCATGTGAACAGGCTTTTACTTTGAAAATCCATATCAGTGTGTCCTGTCCTAATATTTACTTTATTTGGAAGAGAAGTCATTGACAGACTGATTTCTTTAATAATGTATGTTTGAATGATCGCTCACTTTCATTGGAAGGTGGCTTTATCTTGAAGTGAGTGCTTTTATTTTGAAGTCAGTCCCTGTCCCTCCTATATAAGTGCGTGCTCTTATTGTGGCGGGGCGTACTGCAGGCAGCCCTCGTTCTTCTCGATCTGCGCCTGGCAGCTCGGGCAGCGCTTGGAGATGAGCTTGGCCAGGTGTTTGCTCTGAGCCTCCATGTTCATGCCGTCGTAGTACCCTCCGTCGTCCATCCACTGAGACATGTGGGAGCAGGAGGCCGGGTAGTGCGCCTGAGCCCAGAGAGAATACAGACATAACACACACTGCAGGAACTCTGCATACATGTGAAGAGAACATGCTGTGTACAAGAACAGAATGTGAAATCAAATAATGTACATTAAGACTGTTTACTGCAGTGATACATATTTATATAAATAAGTAGATTGCAAGATGACCCGAAACTAAAAAAGAAATAAAAGTCCTATAACCTGTGTGTGTGTGTGTGTGTGTGTGTGTGTGTGTGTGTGTGTGTGTGTGTGTGTGTGTGTGTGTGTGTGTGTGTGTGTGTGTGTGTGTGTGTGTGTGTGTTTGAGAGAGAGAGAGAGAGAGAGAGT